CAAAGTGACTTAGAAATTCTATGCCAAGCTTATGATTTATAAGGATATTTAGAATGATTTAAAATATATGATTTATAATTCTATGATAAGCCCATGATAAACTTGATCCACAATTTAGATAATCTACCAGCAATCAGGAACTGAAGGCTTCTCTTCAGGGAGGTATAGACCTGAGTTGATAGGTACATCAGTGTATGAAGTCCCAGAACAACTGTCTCATGAGGCACATCATACGTAAGGGGCCTCTCCCCACATAAGGGAAAAAGAGGGTGTTTCCTATACCTTAACTTTAAGGGTTAATTGACTTAATACATTTCACATCAACACCAAAAATTGCCACAGAGGACTGACAGTCAAATGAAAGATTTCAGTCAGATGTAGCGCCTGAAGCAAACACTGAACTTTCTGCTGCAGATAACCCTAGCATCTGTCTATCTACCACTGCAAAAATGAGTATGTCAGTCTTGGGTCGCATAAATGGAAAAAAAATCTGAGAAATTCTCATGTCACCACTCTGCAATGCTTGAGCTTAATATTTTTTTCAACCAAAGAAACAGATTCCAGATCTTAGAAGTGACAGAGAATACCACATTTCATTAGTTTTTCTCTGATGAAGAAGAAAAATCAAAGGCAAATAAAGAAGGAATAGCTTAGTGTGGTTCAATGGGTCTCTCTGAATGCACAGCGTGAATAAACTTGGAAATACTTGAAATTGTTTAAATTTCAATGTCTTGTCTACAAAATAGAAAAAAATATATTTCAGAAAAACAAGTGTGTCATGGATTTGTGGCTCCTTCTGTTCTCAGAACTCCAAGAACAAACCTACTGCCTCCACCTCTCTATTCAGCTGGAAACTTAGCGTATGTGACAAAGTTTGGCTGGGGCTTCCACAGCCCATCCCTTTATTGTATTTTCTCACTGTGTTTAACTTGACTTGGGCTTTTATTTTTGGATACTTCTGGCCAGCACTTAATAGACTTGAGCAGACAGCTTCTGTACATAGAAAATATTGTTTAATATAAATGGCAGAACTGCAGTAAAGCGAAGAAAGAACATTTCAAAAGGAACAAAGAGTCCATATGTGTTTATTTTTCTCAGTGCCTCTGAACTCTTAGGAATCTCCTCTTATGCTCCTAAAAAGGTACCTCAGCCAGCTTGTTTTGCTAAAAGTAGAGCTTGGACGACTGCCTTTTGCAGTTTCCAGAGAGTGAATTTTAAACATTGCTTATGGCCTTTGTTATGGATTGTTTGGTTTACAACATCAGCAAAATGAATCCTGTAACTTTGGCAGGAGTCTGAAAGCAGTGTCTTCACACCTGATCTGGGCTATGAGATATTTCATCTGTACCTGTTTTACCACTTTTCTGGCATGTTTCTTGGATTGCATGTAATTAATGCAATCCAGTGCAACTTTACAGTACCTTCATCTTCACCAGTTAGGCAGGCAGTTCTGTAACAAGCACACTTCCCATTTCAGGGGCTTAAAATCAGAGACAGTCAGGGACTAAAGCCCACGTACGGGGAGCAGCAGGTCCAAAAGTTTGAAGAGAAATAAGTGCACTCATGCAGATCAACTGCATTCTTAGGCACAGTGTCTCCAACATATCCAATACCCAAAATAATGAGAATTAGGTGTCTGAACACATTATACATGTCCGTAAATTAAGGAAATCCTGTTGACTCATTAATGATTCAACATTAAAACTCCCCAAGCCAATCCAAAGCTGGTCAGGTGGAAAGCTTAGCTCTTGGAAAAGTAAATGCTAGGCTCCTTCCTCCGGTGCTCTGAATTACTGTGGGATCCATTCGCTGTGTTAGATGCACAGTATTAATCAGCACAAAGCTACTGTAGTGCCTAATGGAGTTGTGAGTTACTGTTTTCTGATTGATGGATAGACTGCATGGGATTAGCCCTCATCAGGTACCTTAAACAATGAGAATCTCTCCATCCAGCATCAAACTAAGCCACACAAAACTGTGCTTCCCCCAAATCTCAGCAGGTTTTGGATAGGGAATAACACAAATTAAGTGAATCACTGTGCAAGAAATATTTACTTTCATTGCTTCACTAAATAAAGAAAGATAAGGATGGGTCTAACTTCATAGGTAGTGCAAAGACACATATTTACAACTCCAATTCAGTGCAAAACTAAACAGAAAAATCTGGCAGTTTAAAAGAATCTGTGTTCATTTCTCCCATATTTGAGACATCCTCCAAATTGTGTAGTTATTACATTTCATTAGACAAGTGAACAGTTTAGTTTTATACATCTGAGTCCATATTCCATTTACATGCACAGCAATATATTTATTAAAAGATAAATTCAATTGTCTGAAAGCTTAATTTTGATCCATTTATTTATCATAGTATCTCTTTGTGAATACGTCCATTTATTTTAATGGGAGGCATTTATTTCCTCAAAGTAATATGAAAACTGAATATGGATAATAAATATATAAAACTGACCTATTAATGTTCTTGCAAACCTCAAACACATACTGCATAGCTGCTAAAACTCAGTAAAAAATAAGAACCTATTTAAAAATATTTCCTTTAAAGCAATTGTCTGCATTTAATATTTAAGCCTTAGGGAAAAATTAAAGCAACAACACTTTTACTGCATAACATTCTCATAAAACGTGGATGAGCGCTTCACTTCTGATAAGACAGTATGCATCAGGAATTTATGGTATTAAGGTACTAGCAGAGCAAGGGACAAAGAAAATCATGTTCAGAAAGATGAGAAAGATGCTGATTAAAAAATAAAAATAAAAAAATGAACAAATCAACAACAGATTTTAAAATGAGCATTAGTGCTGCCCTATATAGTCTTCAGATGTTACTGAAGATACTGACTTATCTCTAGTCCTGTTTTTTACCTCTATGTTTTTCTGCCAGTCTAAATCTAGTCTTTATGCATTTCCAAATCAGACGGATAAAGCACTCCCAAGCAAGCAAAAGGGAGGAATCAGATCAAAGACAATAAAGCATGACAGATAAAGGCAGAGCTAACTCTTAATAATAAAACACAGGAAAACAATCCACTTTTCATCAGGTTGCATGGTCCATGGATTGTAGGGGAAGATGATATTCAGATACCAGTATGGAATTAAAATACTGTAGGAGGCTTGAAAAAGCAGAGATAAAACTCACATTTTACTTGAATGTATACAATCACTATACATAGTTCGTCAGTACTGATGTGCCACAGAGAAAAATAGAGCAGTACAGAAAGCAACTATCTTGTAAAAAAAAAGAATTTCACTATGATACATAATGACTTTTTTCATAATTAAAACACTGCAAAGAATGACACAAGTACATTTGAGACATGTATAAGAAATCAGCTTCAAGTGATTAATCTGAATTAGTTTTAGCAGCTTAGTTTTAGTCAACTACGATTCCCATTTCCAAAGATATCTTCCTTCAGAATCAATTAAAAGAAGTGGGTCTGCTCACAGACAGATATACTACTCTGAATAAGCAAATATTAGTAAGTCTTCAATCATTACCTTTTTATGCAAAAATAACCCCTTCCCCTTTAATAAAACGCATACTTGCAAATAAAAATTTAGCCAAAGAGTCAGATGAGTGGGATATTCACAAAGAATGGGATAAAGCAAAATGCTAGGGGTTTTGTTTCTTTGTTTGTTTTTTTTGCTTGGTTGGTTTTCCCCAGAATAACGTGGTGAGTTCCAGGCTTTGTTTTTGGCATTTTGTTCACCTTCAGATATTGCATAGGTATGCTGCTTGAACGAGTTTCACAGGAGGTAGTTTGAGGCCTAGGGGAAGGAATGATTTAGCAAATTATTCTTGCTAAAATTGTGTATTTGAATGAGCCCCACAGCTCAATCATTGAAATTAGATTGAAACATGGGTCAGCCATTGCTAAATTTTAGTAAAACAATATTAAATTAAAAAAAGTAATGTCTTCATGATTTTTAATGGTGAAGTCATCACAGAAAAGCAAAGCACTAAAATGCTCCGGTGACATGAGTCTGGATATAAAAAGTTATGTGTTAAGTGGTGACTCCCATCTACAAGAAACTGCAGAGGAATTTTGGTCATTACCTCCTTAGGCTGTAGGGTCCATTTGATCCATGTTTTTGTTTGTGATAACCAACTGTATTTTTGTTAATATTTGTTAATGATATTGAATAAGTACACATCAAAATGCGTATAAAGATTTTTAACAAGGCAGTGTGGCTAACCCAGGGTGTAGAGACACCTGTAATTTCACAGACTGCTTTGGAAAATTCAGGCTCTGCGTAAGAGAGTATGACAAACTTAGAAAAGTCTTGAACCATAAAATACAAGATGAAACATCACCAAAGACAGAGATAAACGCAGAATTCTTTCTGCGCAGAAACACAGAAAAGGCAGTGGACCTAACAGCAAGATATGAGATGCATTAAAAAGATATGAAAGGGAGGCAAAACAGAGCTCCATGGACATTTAAAACTGATCTGAGGATGGAAATGGCAATGAGGATTAAAACTGCAGGCAGAATAAAGAGCTAGCCTTTTTATGGGTTCACAATGTTCTCCGTACTTCTGCTTGCAATTATACTCTAGGGTGGCAATCAGTCATCAGGAACATCCAAAAAGAGTACTATCTACAGTAACAGAAGTTATTCCATTCATACGGTGTGATGAGCCTTTTCCATGATCCAGAATTAATTTCTTCTACATCAAAAGTACTGAAATTATACCACACTAGTGTTTAAGCACAGTGAGACTCATAAACCTTAAGAATGACAATTCAACCAGTTAAATAAAAGTCAGAGGAAGCTTAAGCTCATTTTAAATATAAGATATATTAATGTTTATTTTGAACACTGGGTTGAATATATTGAAAAGTAATATTCAACAAACAGAAGTCTATGGAGAGGCAATGTATTCCGTCTTTCATTATAATGAGAGGCTAATCCAACTTATCAGACTGCTGCTCAAAAATCACTGCTTATTTCTTCCTACTGCTGCTTCTTCTTAGCTCTTACCTTCCAGACTCAAATGTGAACCATGTTGAGTCACGTCCATATCTCCTCAAAGAGCTCAGAGGCCACATGACCAGCTTGACCTTGGCATTGTGGATGTCCCAGAGATAGATGTTTTCATGTGTGATCTGCATTGTACATTCCCCATAGATATCTAAATTTGGTGTAGGCATAAGATATACATTGAATCGTTCTGAAAAAAAAAAACATAGAATAAGGCATCGCCAGTTAAAGCAAGATTTTATATTGGGAAAAAAACATATCTTTAGTTACTGATGGTTCAGAAATCAAAGCCCAATTTCTAGCCTTGAACAGAGGTGAGGATCCACTGATGTCAAACAAACCTTGCTAGTGTACATGAGAGGAGTAAAAGGAGAATCCTCTTCATTTCATTTTCATTATAAATAATGCAGCAGACTGAAACATCTTTCACAGATGGTCTGCATAGTCCTCTTTGACATATGTCCCCAGCAACTTAACTAGAGTCCTTTATCCTCACCTTAAGGGCCATGACTCTTTGCAAATCAAAATTCACAACGACTTGAACTCTGACAGAGACTCCTCTCTCAAAGAATAGAACTATAGGTATCTTGGCAAAGCATGTATGTACAACCACCGCCCCTCAGAAAAACCGTCCTTAAAATTGCAAACCCAGGTTTACTTATTGAAGCTTGTTAATAATTATGTTCTTTATGTTCAGTTTATATTTATTTACCAAAGTCATTATCATTTGTCAAATTAATAACATTTTTAATCATCTGTTGCTTTCTTGAAAAATCTGATTCCACACGATATATTATGGTCATGATATCAGTTGCTACCAGCTGCACTTCTACTGCAAAGTGCGTTCATTGCAGTAAGAGGTCAAGGGCATTAACAATTTTCTGAAGTGCCTGAATTGCTTGTGATTTAATAAGCAACGCAAAAACGATCCTTAAAAAAAAAAAAAGGAAAAATGTAAAAAAACCAAGGTGATATTAAACAGCATTAACTCATACGGAAGGAAGTAAACCACAATAATATCAAGAGAATTTTAAATAAAAATGCAATTTTCTTTGAAGAATAACTACTGTTTCTATGTTTCTACAAAGAATGAAAAACTCAGTCAAATTTCACATAGTACAGCTGGAAGTGTTAGCCTATATTTTAACTCTAAAGGCACTGAAATCTTAGGGCTTAATAGCATAATATGGGAGAATGCAGCTGATTCATAACTTCCTCTCACAATTTTCTTTTGTTTTTGAAATAGCATAGAAATGTAAACTGTCAATGCTACTGCACTGAAGAGTGTTGGCAAAAAAGGTAAGAACAATTTAAAGTATGAGCATGAGCAATGCTCATTCAATAAACAGTACTGGAAAAATGTACTTTAAAGGGACACCTCATAGGAAAATTGTCTCCAATCACTTGATAAATGACTGACAGTTTGTTGTGGAACATTTCAAATCCACCATTTGCACTGAATTTTCTCATGGTGTCCTCATAAAAATTAGGAAGGAATCTAAAGTAATCAGAAGAGGAATAAAATGAGAAGTTTATCATAAGAGTCAAAATTAGATGCAGCTTCCCAGTGTGGTTGACATTCAATATCACAGACATTATGTCTCCATTTTTTAAACATTTGATAAATATATACCTTTCTGACAAATCAGTGAAAATATTGCAAATAAGCAATTTAATATAAAATATGTTAGAAGTCTGTGTGTGTATGTGAATAAAGTAGCAAAAGTTTGGCTGAGGAATTAATGGCAGCAGGCAACTGCTGGGTGAGCAGTAAGAATTGCCGTCCTGCATAGCTATAAGTAAACTTGTCATCCCCAATGTTATTCTGTTTCAGTCAATTTAATTTTGTCCTATTAATGACTCCCCAACTGATTCATTCAGTCTCATAGCCATTCAACCTCTTCTCTCAGGTTCAACTTCTCATTAATCACACTAATGGGTGTTAGCCCTAAAAGTTTCATTTTATGGCTAAGGTCCCAAGTGTGAAACTTTGATTTTTTGTAAAAGTCTTTTGACACACCACACAAATAGGTGCTGCTGAGATCACCACAAAGAATTTCCCCAAACCCTCAGAGGAGTGCATTGGGCACAGGTCTAACCTAACGCCTACTACAGTAAATGGAAGGACTCACACATGGGAGTATGGCTCAATGACTGCATTGGGAAGGGAATGGTAGAGAACAAGATGACTTATATTTTGCGATGGAATTATCTTCTTAAAATATATATGTACACACATATGCCCTTTTTCAGTATCCATATGTCATTGTGATGGTCATGCAAAAATGCCTAGGAGCTTTAATCATATATTAGACTCCAGTTTTGCATTGTCATGCTGTTACTTATTGTTACTTAGCTCCCCTCTTTGAAAGAAAGATGCAGATGACTGACGTATCAGCCGGCTGTCTTGTATATTACCTGAAATCACACAATGTGTCTTGTGAGGATGGGGCTACTATATGAGAATGGAAATCTTTCCCTGTCCCTGTTTTCATTGACAGAGTGCCTCAGACAGCAGAGAAAATGGAAAGGTACAATTAATTTCTGAAGGAAACCTTAAACTGTTGTATTGAAGGCACAGCCTATTTCAACCTGGTTTAGAAGTTACCAGGATACTCATGAAATGCTCAACTTCTCTGAAGTGTTTGAGGATATTATTGCATGAAGGGTATTCAGGACATACAGTATCCTCAAACTGTCAGGAGACATTTGCTGACTTCGCACAGGAGGTCAGTGTCTAAGGTGTGGTGTCACGGATTAAAGAAAGTATGTCTGATTAAACTGAACATCAGCTGCAGGGCAAAATGTAGCACCCTTGGAACTCACTCAAATCAATAAGAAAAGCAAGTGTACAAACGTATGTGCTGGAGAAGCTTGAGGATGGATATATTTGCTTTTGAAACAAAAACTAATACTTTTGAGCAGTGGAAGACTGAGGACATGGAAAGGTGTGGATACTATTAAATGATTTTAGGAATTAAAATGCAGGGTTCAATTTTTGCATTTCAGAAAATATTTGAACAGGTATCTAGGTAATGGTAATACAATCATTCAGTTTTTAGAGGCAAGTTATGCCCTTAACCTCATCCAGGCAAGAACAAACATTCATAGGCTAGATTTGGGAATCGCAGCTGAGTTCTGTCACCAGATCTTCTGAGTCACATTGAATGGGATATTTAGCTTCTCTGTGGATCAGACACCATCTGCATATGAGTGGGATGAGATAATAACAGTTCATTGGGTAGTAAGATTAAGTAAATAGAAGTTAATGAGGGACCCAGAAAATATGGAGATGGAAGAAATCAAACAAGTAGATGCTATCCTGTTGGACAAGACAAGGATGAGACTGAGCAGGTGCAATTCCTCAGCATTTACCATCACTCTCCTCCTCCCTCCTCTATAACTGGTGAGAGCAAAGTTCAAGGAATGGGGGAGCCAGGATGAGAAAAAAATGCTGATAAATTGCTACACTTATTATTCCACTCTTTTCAACATAACTGCTCTTTCCCATCTCCTTGAATAAGCAGAGCAATGCTTCATCATACACTTTGTGCATGTAAAGGTGTTTAGCTTTTGGGCTTTGGCAAGAATATGACCTTTAATGATGTTTTCCAGAGCACAGGAGTGTAAGAGTCTTTGTTTAAATGAGCACATTGACTGAGATGGAGACTTGGCAGCAACTCTGAAATGCTCTCAGCCTTTCAGCTCAAAGTCCAGCTGTACTGGGGAAGCAAAATGACTGGGGCCCAATGACCCTGGTTCTGCCATTTTATCCCTGGATTCCTTCGCCTCCATCATCCCAGTTGGAAAACTGACCAGATGACATTGTAATTTTGCAATCCGGATCTCTGTTTCATTTCAGCTTTAATGAGAAGAGAAAAACCACTTATGGAAGGAGGCAGTCAGGTTGGTGGGTTTTATATAAGAAAGGGCTTTAAAAGCAAACATTCAGCTTCTATCTAGAAGACAATCCTTCTCCATCTATGAGACTTCTGCTGCTGACCATCTGTAGCTAATTTTCAGGTGGAAAGAGAGCTTTAAGTCTTGAAGACACAGCATTTTGTGTCCATTCACATGACAGAATGATTCTCTCCAGTTTTACACAGTGAGGAACCAGGACTCCAGAATTAATTTTATCCCTTTGGTTATAATTATTCTGCCTTGCTTCCATTAAAAATGTATGGAAATGTTTACTAACATCTCAATGAAAATATAAAAGCTACCATAAATAAATTATTTTAGATTGTTTCACTGGTAAGTAGTAAGGTAGAGAAGAATCTGAAATCTCACGAGATTAACCAGCCATTAAAACTGTAAACACCTTTCTTTTCTGAATAAAGCTGGCTATGTTTGGTTTATTTTTAAAAAAATAACGAAGTATAAAAATGGATTAAGGATAACAGAAGATCCATAAAAAACATGCAAAATGCTTTTATGTAGTAAATCACAAAGAGAGATTCTACAGCCCCTAGAAAATGCCCTAAACCAAGTCAGCTCTGTGAACGTAATCACAAAGTCTCTATGCTTTGGCTGTAGTTCATAATCTCAATATGTAGCATAAAGAAATAACTCACAATCCTCTTCTGAGGATTCAAGGACGTTGTTCACTATGAAAAGCTACATTTTTACTAACAGAAATTAATGAGTTTCTAGCAATTAAAATCCAGGAAGCAAGATCGCTGTACTGTGGAATGTTTTCAAATAAAAAAGGAAGGTAAAACAAATGTTATGAAAAAGAGGAAGAAATTCACAAAGGAAGCAATTTTATGAGATATTAATTTATATATTAGGCAGGGAGTAAAAGTAAAAAACCAATTATCTTTCAAACTCTTCCAGACTTCTAAAATCAAAATTAGCTTCACAATGCATTTAAAAAAAAAAAAAGCCAAAGCACCAGTAACATATAATAGAAAAGCATCATATTGACATCACAGGCATGACACCTAACAATAAATCAGCTACAGCAGCAAAAGATGGATCAGGCCTTTTCTTCAGTGTAAAAATTTGCATTTTTACATTTGCCTATTTTCTTCACTGTTTACATCAGGTTTACAAGTGAAGTTTAATAGAATATGATTTAATACAAGTAGTCTGCTGTTTTAGTGTTATTATTTAGATTTCAAAATACATAGCAATAGAGTCTTCACCAAAGGGAAGCACCTCCTCTTAAAGAATGGATTAGCAGCACTGTCTACACATAATGCTTTTTTAACAAATATTGCCTTGAATATTCTGGTTTCTTTTTCACAGTAATCTTAGTCTGTCATTGTATACTGTCCCTCTGGATAACTTCTTTCTAATTACTGCCTTCTATAAGCAATGAAAATACAGTGACACATTGGAAACAGTGATATTTTGAAAAAAAATCATGAGCATGGACAAAATCTAGATATGATGACAGCCAGGCAGGTAAAAAATATTTAAAAAAGATTTTTTTTTTGTTATTATGCCTTGAGGTGTAATACAAATGCTTCCAAATGCACTGAGAGCTGGAAAGGAAGTTTCCACTTCTTCCAAATGAAGATAGCACTCTACTTTCACGATTTCTTTCCCTAGCAGCAGCTTGAGAAACCTAAGGAATATGGAATGTGTGTGTAAGTATCCCAGGATACTGCTTAGAAGACTACTTGTCAACAGTGTTACCAGCTCCAGCCAACTTCAGATTTTCTTTCCTGGAGTTATAACTGTGTATTATTATTTGTCTTATCATTGTATATACAGCTCCACGGCCATTATACTAAATTTGTTATCTGAATAGGATCATGTAGCCTTTACTGATTTTGATTTAATACTGTATTTTCATTCTTTATCAAATAATTTAATTGGACATTCATAAACAGTAAGAGACTATGTTTGGTGTAAAAAGAAATTTAAACAGAAACAGGGTTGCTGCTATAGGGCTGAGGAACATAAACAAATCACTTAGATTTGCAGGGGAGAGAAGGTAAAATGGTTGGAGAGTAACAGAAGCTTCATTTCAAATCTCACTTTTATTGGAATCTGTGTATCATTGCAAACTAAGCAGCCATTAGTTGTGAACTTTAAATGTAAAAAGAAAACCACCTAAGGGTCATTTTCCGCAGTGGAGTTGACACAGTAAGACTTGCAGTAATACTTCTTGAAAGTAATAAGAGAGATGAAATCCAGTGAGAAGCTTTCTGTTACTGATGTGCTTCGCACAAGAATTGCTTAGATGTCTTCTCTATTCTTCCTACAAGGCTCAACAGCCAGAGGTCTCTGCTATAAGCAGTGCAGATCCATAGTTTGGCTTTGTTAGCTGTCACCACCGCAGAATTGCTTGGTGCTGGAGGGTCAAGCAACAGTGCAACTACAATAAAATAGATCTCGCTAGCACTTACTGAACAACTCAGAACTATAAAAGAACACCTCTTTCAGATTGCTGCGCTACTGTAAATTTTTATCCTCATGTGACAGAAATGCCTTATGAATGTATGGCCTTTCAGCCATGACATTTGCATACCAAACAGCAATTTTGCGAGCCTTTGGAACAAACTGTTTTGCAAACCCTATTGTTGCATTTGTGTCACAGAGACTCAGGTATCTTCCCTTCTGAAATCAAAAGCTCATCTCAGGAGAACCACAAGATTGAAAGTAGGAGGATAAACAGGCTTAGATGTAACAAAAAGAATATCAGACAAATCATAGAAAACACACATACTTTCTTTGCCAAGTATTTTTGGAAATGTGAGTCCTTGGGTATAAAAAAATATAAGTAGCATGTAGCAAATTTTATGGTCCCAGGGCATATACAATGACAATTAAAAAAATTATTACAAATGTTGCAAATTGAAGGTACTGGCTATGGTGCTCATATAGCGGGACTGAAACACAAACCTTCACAACAGAAAACTTACTGTTTTTTCAAGAGACAGCTAATTTATCTGATCCCTTCAGTGAATACCCGTACAAGTACATGACATACATCATGCAAATGACCTTCAAAGACCGGAATGGGCAAGTAGTTGGACAGATGAAGAACATAGAGTATTAAAAATACTATTGCTAGGAAAACGTAAAGCAGATCGTGAAAAAAAAAGCCCTTGTTAGGCTAGTTCTTTTATGATCAAGGAAGTATCTTTATCAAATTTTGAACATTTCAGAAAATCTTTAGGGCAAAGTAACTATTTGAAAAAAGACAATGGAATGAGATGGGATTAATGGTTAATACATCTGTTCTTTTGGGATTAATAGTATTAACACTCTGTCATACCATAGAGATATTAAGAGTATAACACCATTATTCAATTGCTTCTAGTCCTTAACATGTAAAAATAATTTTTTATATATATATAGCTAAAACTGAAAAACCACTGGCACTGTAGTCTTTATGACAATGCAATCTGTGGTCTTGGTCAGATACTAAGAGACATCTTTTGTTCAGTGACCTGAAAGAAAGCCCTTGTATGGTTCAGGCAACAGAACCTGCATGAAACTAGATGCTGAGGCTTTATGAGCCTATTACAGGTTTTACAAACTGTATTCTCACATTTCTGTTTCAAGTAAATATTAATACATCAACTAATTCAAGAGGAATTCTATGAAGTTGACATACTTGCAATGTTTTGAAATAATGGCATTCAAAGGTACTATATCAGTGTACAGTTTTTATTTAACACACAAAAAATAAAATGACCCTGAGAGTGACACAGCTGCCATTTTCACAATGAGCAAGATTTTAGACATTTCATACATATAGTCATTTTTCATGAATTTCAAATTGGAAAATTAACTTTGACCTTTCAGATTCAGGTCAACAAAAGCTCAGTAGTCTTTTTTAAAGGTTTTTAGGTATCTTTTGACCTACAATTTTTGATAGCATGCCTTTAAAAGCCACAATCTAGGGAAAATGTACAACAAAATAAATTTCAAATTTGAATTTTTTATCACAGCTCACCAAATTACTCCATCCTCCGATTCGTCACCTTTTCCATAAAACTGTCACGTGGGGAATGGCATTGACACGTTTGCAGAATAAGATAACTAGTATAAACTGAAGTCACAGTTCCACTCACCTGATTTTACTGAAGGAATCTGCTAAAGAAATTCGAGTGCAACTGCAGGTTCTCACAGCCCAGCTACATGAACAAAATGCTAGACCTCATACCAATAGTAAGAATCTCTGTAGTCTTCCCTCTTTCCAAGTGGATTAAAAGACCCCCAAACCAGAATTTGCTTTGCTTCTGAACAGGACAACTTTGAATTTCAAACGTGCTTATTAAAATGCAGAGTTGTGCATCAAGGGGATGAGAGAAGGAAGTGGATAGGTATCAGAATTACTTGTCTGAGATACTGTAACTAATGATTTAGCAGAGCATGCTCGTCAAATATTGGATTATATGTATTCAGCCACTTGGTTTAAAAGGATATGGCTAATGATACCCTCCATGCATTCTTATTCATGTGACTTATACAACAAATACATGCTTTGCCTCTTTGTTTCCTTTCATTTATTTACTAAGAACAATAAAGATGCTAATTATGTTCATATATGCTGGTTGGTAGCACTGCAATTAATTTCTAGGCTAAGGCAATTGAATCAAGACTAGCTCACAGAACAGGACTAATCTCTGTCTTCTGGAGGTCATGTGTGTGTAACTGGATCTCTTTCAAGAACAAGATGAAATGTAATATTTGCCATCTATGTCCGAAAGCTGCTGGACAGTACATAAATTCGCTGCAGAAAGAACTCGAGGAATTTCAAGCCACTTTTCTGCGCACGTCACAGGCTTTTGACAAGATTTATTCCCTTTCGCATTTGTGAAGGAGCACCACCTGCTCACATTATTCTCTCTTCAATAGCATGCATAGGAGTTTTATACCTATAGCCTACAAGCACAGAGCAGATAGGATGCTTTGAGTGGTGTCTGATCATTATCACTTTCCTACAACATTAGTAGCTCTCCATTTGTTAAGTAGTTTGAGACTACAAATTAAATCCTGCATCTCACAGCAGGCAAACAACTTCACAAACAGTTGAACTTCTTTTAAATCGCACTTGAACATGTCTGATTTTTGAACAAAATTTCTTAAAGATTTCTGTATTATTTGTGTTATTAGGTTCAGAGACGTCTGGACTCTTCTATGAAACTAATAGAATATAATCAATATAGTGTTCTTCATTCTAAAATTTAATTATGTAATTTTGTTTATAATGATAGTTGGCTTGATATTTTATGACCATTGAGGCAGTTTGTTTTATTACTTTGTTAAAAGCTACTGGATCTTATAAAAGCATCAAGACAGTAATAATCATTGAGAGCTGTAATTTAGGGAGGAATAAATGAGTGCATTTTGTGTTGCCCTCATGTTCATTAATAGGAATTAAATGACAGGATAATCACAGATTTTCTTTTGTTATTGCATATTCCATCCACTAGCATCCTTCCTGTGCATGTGTCTAATCTAAAGTTCTGTTCCAAATAGCCTTTAGATGAAGACTTAGAAGCTCAGGCTTAGTGCTGACTAGCATCTGACATTGCCCTTTTCACCTGTATTTGACATTTAGATGACCTTGACTTCATTATTTAAGACAGGTATGAGTTTAAAGCAAATATGTGTTTTGCAGTCCAAAGTGGTGTTGATATGTTCACTGCTGTCTTTCAAAGGCTGTGGAACAACAGCTGCTATTTTATTCCTCTGCACAGAGGCCATTGTTTCCAGAACCAGAAGGATCATAGTCATCGTTTCCCATGACAGGAAAATGTGAACACAATGAAGACATGAAGTCACTCTACGTGTGGTATTTGGCATGGGATTTAATCATCTTTATTTGCAGGAAAAATAGGATTAAGCCTCAAAAGCACATCCAATGTTTAGTTATTAATGACGTTCTTCTAGCTAATAGTAAAAATCCTCACAACAACAAACACATGCGAAGATAAAATGGGACATCACCTAAGAACTGATGTAGGCACAATTACAAAATTACTTACCATTTTGTTCTCTCTGGACTCCAGCAGCAAGCAAATCTGGTTCCCCAAGACTTATATCATTGAGCCTGGTTCCTAGACACTCCATGCAAAGATGTTTGCACCATTCCTCTGCCTCTAGTTCTGGAAAAACAGAAAAAAAAAAAATTGTTCGTGTTAACATTTTACTCAAAAAAGTATGAAGTTAAATCAATACCTTCTTACTGACCTGCTTTATGACAATATGCTTGTGTTGAAACATGAGTTATTAGCGTAAAGTTCCACTCGAATTTCTTTGCCTTGATTTATGAACTTCTAAAAGGGTTTACACTATTAGGACTGCATCTTCCATTTTCAAATTTGGGGATAGGAGGTGGAGTTAACAAAAAAGAGAAAGTAGTGAGTTTTCAAGGCAGTATATTTCTAGCAGGCCTTCTTGAAAGAAAAAATGCAATTTAGAAAAACATTAGGTATAATATCTGAAATATTCTTTACTGCTCTTTAGGTGAATCTGAACTATTAAAGCAATTTCTGTTTCTAAAGGTTCTAGAGTATTTTTCTAGGAGCAAAGGAAAAAACAGTAACAAAAAGACCTTCAAATGCAAAACTTCCTTCTCTGCTGTACTGAATGGCTATGCGTGTCAAGTTAGTCTGAATAATTAATTTCTTCAGCTCTGTTTACCTTCTTTTGGTCTCAGAGCAATTTGGGCATTAGCTGGAACGTTTCTGTGAAAATTCCAAACCTCCTAGTCTTTTCTGAGTCCTCCATTGCATCCCATTGACGTGCATCTGAGAGCTCCTTATCTGCCAATCTACCAAGACAGAACCTCCCCAAGGCATAACCCCCTGAGACACCACGACAGCCCCCCCTCCGCACCCAGCCTCATCCTATCCACTTCCCAAACTTAACATCACGAAATCTCTGGCATTGGTCACACAAACAACATGGCAAGTTGGCGTTCACACAGTGTGAAACCACAACTAATAAAAATTATGCAACGAGGCTAGCTGTCTTTTATTACAGAATAGGCTTCACCTAAGGGAAGCTGCCTGGAGAGCAGGCTTGGCACCAGGGACGCGCTGAGCATCCATTGTCACAGTCTGTATCTGATCATCTTTAGGAGTGGGTGACTCCAGTCACCTAGAAATGTCTCTATTAAACTGCCACAGCTTTTTCATTCCTATTTTTGGGCACATCTGGAAAATAGTTTTGTGACCATCTCTGCAACGTAGTGCTGAAATTTGGAAAGAGAAAAATACTGCATGCAAGCCCTGAAGCATCTAGTGATGATGACTCATTGTAATTACTGAAAGTTTATATCCAAGAAAAATCTTTCCATGCCTAATTGGTACAGTCCTCAAATCCTCGCCTGGCTAGGCATAGATCTCTAGTGACAAAAACATTTGCTGGACAAGAAAGGGAGACAGGCATGCAATTCCAGGGCTCCAGGAACCTTCGGATACCCTCTTTTGTTCAGGGCCCTGAATAATCCAGGAACAGATTGTTCCTGAGTTATTTTGGCTATCAGCTGACCAAGTTCCCAGGCAGACAGTTCCAATGATAGCCTCTGTTTGGGGATTTTTGAGAGCCAAACGCTGCTGTTGTCACAAGGACACAAACAGTTTGGGGGGGCTTCTTCAGAGCACTGTAAGCAAAGGGGTTTCCCTTAACCCTTCTTGATTTTTTTTGCAGTCTTCGTCTCAGGACACAGATCCCCAAAGTTGGTCTTCTCGTAATATCCTCAGCTTCTGGTGGTAAAAGACCGAACATTCTGTCAGGAACATCCAGATGACATTTAACTTTGTATGTAAGAAGAAAATATTGAGGTGACAGCATACTGTTCCTTAACACTTCTACAGATACAGCCTCCTTGATGGAAGTAAGGAGAGAATAGGTATATCTCTGGACAGCAATAAAACCTTAGGGCTTTTAAAAGGAGTAAGATAAATTTGTTTAAAAGCCTACCTCCAAAATTCATCATCTGCTCATGCATGAAGAAATTTTCCTCCTGTTTTCCCTTCCTCTCCTTCAGCCTTTGCCACTTCCCTGGATATTTGTGAGGTCTGCTGAACCAGAGCCATGCCTTATAAATCATACCTTCCCTTGGAGAGGGCTGCATGCCAGGGAGATGATAAAAGTGGACCACAAGACATGCTGCCATATTCCGGCAGCACGCAGAAGGGGTGGGGGAAGTGCACCAGCACATGGGTAAGTCAAACCCCCCATCAAGGGAAGGTTCCCACTGAGTCGTCCAACATCTGCTTCCAGCTACAGATAAACTCGGGGGGAATCGGTGCAGAAAGGCTGGTAGCGCAATGGAGACAGTGCAAATCTAGTCCAGTGCTCCCATGTTTCCCTCCCTTCCCTCTCACAATTTCTTGCCTGCCTAAACCGTATCATAGAACAATATATATGCTGACAGAATTCATAGCTCTATGCAAAGCCTGTAATTTTTCCTCAAGTGTGGTCAGGATATAACATTTTATGTATTTTACAAAATCTGGATTTTATTACTTTCTTTCATTGTGCCTGCACCCAGACTGAAAGGCTACATTCTGGAAATGTAGAATGAGATGATGGTAAACAAACACTAAACTAACCTTTCTAATTTTACCAATATCTAAGGAGAAAGGAAAACATATTGGCATTTCCATAAATCCAGCTTAACATCAATATATATTCAAAACAGTACTCATGTAAAAACAACACTTCTATTTATACGTATCCTCACACCACATTTCCAGTAGATTTTTTGGGAAACAAACAAGCAAACAAAAGCATTGTTCTAGGAAGCTGTTTCTTGTGAGCGTCTTTGTTTTCATCGCCTCAATCCACTTGCCTTTCTCTATTACAGGAACACCTAGATCTTGAAAGTTTGGATCCAGAAACTGCCTTTCAGAGTGTTTGACTCTGGCAGTTTAATTTAAGCTGCTGCTGCTTCACTGCCAGACGTTGATGATTAGACCCAGATCAGACCATTCTCGAACTGCCACACAGAAGAAACTTATCTTACTGTGAGCATTACAAGATCATGGCTATATTTTGCAAAGCATAGGCTATAACATGCATTGTATTGCTGTATAACTCAAAATTTGTATCTTACAAAAATGATCGACTTAATGCTACAGGAAATACAATTTCAATGCAGAACTGAAATATCTTCCCACAGAACTGTGAGGATTTGTGTCTCCTGTCAGAAGCATCAACATTATCTACAAATGTGTTTGGAAGGTCAAGGGTATGAGGGTACTGTGTGAGTTAGTTTTACCTAATGCATCCTGATAGCTATTGCTTACTTGCAAGGGATTGCCTTCAACCTTTTCCTTGACAGACATGCGAAATCTTCTTTAGAAGCAGGTGAATTACCTTTCAAAGCCAAAGCCATCTTTCTCCTTTCACCCTGTGCATCTATAAAGCAGTTCACCATTCTTTTGTAAAAGGTCTATAGTATGCTTTGTGTTTCTGGATAACAAATATTATTTATGATTTTTAAAATTTATTTATTAGAATTTATAGTACATAAATGCATCAGTCACAGTAGCAATCTTTAAGCATGACAGCTACCACGTCACAAAACTGAGATACTACTGTTACTTCTTTATTTTAATTATATGCATATATTGAAACAGATGAAATATTACAGCAAAACCAAGTCATAAAAAACTGTCAGCAAAATTCTTCTCTTTAATGCGTGTAGATTAGATTTATTGGTGGTAAATGCTGAGTTTTTAGTCATAACTGGTACTTGTCATTGCAAAATTTAGTTTCCTTTTAAGATAACTGAATTCTTGGACTGAATGATAAATTGCAAAGCAAGCTTTCACAGCTATAAATAAAATCCAAATACTTGCATTTTCATCTTTACTGTTATTCAATTATAAAATGCTGCTATACAAATGTCATGAGGTGAGATAAAATGCAAAGAGATGGGAGACCTTAATTAGGCACTGTTTATTGCATAAGAAATATTACTGGGAACAAATCTGTAAACTTGTTATCTGAAAATACACACACCTGGTTATTGGCAGTATTTTCCTGCAGTTTAACTGAGCTTCTAGGTCACGCCTGAGGTTCTGTGTCATTTCTACTTCAGTTCCCAGGTGGTTAAACTGGTGCTCTACCTAGTCCAACCACTGAAGTTGTGCGTTGCAAATAGGTGATACCACAGGATGATAAATGGGTTTGTTGATATAATAATGATGATGATGAAATAATATTGGCAAATGGTGTTATAAATATAAATTTGTAAGAGTGAAAGAGCTCTTCTGCTACTTATGGTTTAAAACAGTTCACGCTACACAACCTATTCGACAGGGAGGAGGTGGTGGGGCAGAGATATAGAGATATTTCACTTCACTGTCCTTAGAGAGCCTCTAGATCTCCAGGGCTAGAGGCGGGATTGTTTTCAGACTCCTGACTTAGGAAGCATTTTGTGTGGGGACTAACCCAAATATCTTCTGAATCCTGCTAACCTCACATTCTTTCACATTTACCTCCTGTGCTCACCTTGCACAATCCCCCAGGAGCCTGTCATCACCCACCACAACGAGCTGCCAGCGTACTCGAATGCTGCTAGCCTGAGATAAAGCCTCGAAGAGGTGACCCCTCCTGCTCAGTTCAGCTTTGTCTCCTTCAGTAACACCATCTCCTGCTCTGCAAAGCAGTGCCCTCTGTTCCCGGAGATCCCTTCCATCGCTAGCAGCAGCAAATAATTGCATTCGTAAAAAAATGGCTCAATTTATATGCAACCCTTGACGTTTAAAAACAAAGACGAGGAAGTTTGTCTCTTCCCCTTCTCACGCAGCCCACATAAAGTGATGTGACCAAGGATTTAAGTTGGAAATAACATGTATGCAATATTAGAGGGGGGTAACAAACATTGTCCTTGTGCAAATCAAAAAACCTCACTTACTTTTTGAGCCTTCCCTGATGTCAAAGTGTATAAGCCTAAAATGTTAGTTTCTTCATTTCTGAATGAAATGCATAAATTTTCTGCATAAATTGTTTGACTCTTCTTCCCCCTAAACTACTTCTGTAAGATGTCCAAATCCAACTGAATATTCTTACTCTGAATGAAACTGGAGAATCTTTCCTGCTTGGGTTAGTAGGACTTAGACCTGATATTCTATACAAGGAAAAAAAG